CCCCACGTTGCCCCCCAAAACGAAGAAAGTCTGAAAACAAAACGAAAAAAGAAGATCCTACTTTCAAAAAGAAAACAGCGGAAAAAAAAAAAGAAAAAAAAAAAACAGCACCTGTCAGAACGGGCACCTACAATGACTCTGGGGGCTTTGGGCCTGGCTCCACTACTCACCAAATGCAAAATGACAATGAATCTTCTGCTACAACATGGAAAGATACACCACCACACTTTCTGTCTTTTGTGCATGTGGTGAGTAGTGGAGCCGAGCTGTATGGCCGCTCTCCAACGGGACCAATTTGTTTTCCCTTGTTTTTGGCAGATTGGCATGGCTTGTCCTTTCAACGTGTGTGCACCTTCCCAGGATTGCACGCTTTGTGCATTCCAGCAAACGACAAACAAGAACAACAGAAAAGAAACAAAAACGAATGTGCCATTTTAAGAAAGAAAAAAACGGCCATCAGAAGAGGCGCCTGCAACGGGAGGGAAGGGACTTTCTGTTCCACGTTTCCCTCTGCCCGCCACTTGGCGGGTTCTTGTAGTTCTTTTTTTGCCTATTTTTCACACGTTGGCTTTTTCACGTGACCGTTGGCAAAAAGCATTCCAACGGGCCGCCCACTTTGCACACCCACGACCTGTTGAAATACAGACCCAAGTCCGAATCCAGATACAATCAGATGACCAGAATGAAATAATTCTGAATTACCTGGGGCGGGTGATATAGCAAATGCGGTCCATTGGCATAATCCAGCCTTCTTTTGCACGCCCATGAACTGTTGAGATGCAGACCTGAGATCGAGCATTTCCCCCACACTGCCCACAGTGTGTTTTTTTTTTTGTTTTGTTTTTTTTTCCGGAAAATACAGAGGTTCCGGACGTGCATCCGGACAGGGGGTCCGGACCGGTGCGGATATTCCGGAATATTCCGGTTTCCCGGAAGTCCGGATGTCGCCGGGAAGTCCGGGGTCCGGGGTCCGGACTCGGTCCGGAGTCCAGTCCGGCGTAGCTATGCAATTTTTCTTTGTCTTAACTTCACAAATCACTCTTCCCTTTCCGGGCAAACTTATATTTTTTAATTCTGCGCTGATCTCTCTTTTCTTCAGAAAAAGATTGACTACTTGCACAAATTGAGATTCTTCATCGTTTTTCAATGATTTTTTATCATTTTTCTTCGTTTCTTTTGTTGCAAGTTTTTTTTTTTTTTTTTTTTTTTTTTTTTTAAAAGCAGAACCTCAAGGTGGCTCCTTTTCCATTCTGGGGAGCATCAGTCCGGTTCCTATTCCGCCTGCAAGTCAGAAAATATTGCAATAAGCACTCACTCACGCTCCTCCCCCTTATGGCGTGGAGGYCTGAAGAAAGGCATTGATTACTTCCGGAAGGAAGGACGTACCACCCTTCACCCCTGCCTGAGTTAGCCTGTTCTAATTTACTGTGAAACGGTTTTCACCTTTGCAGAAACAGATGCAGTTCCCAGGGTTCAATCCCTAGACCTTACCTGCACCCGTGTACAGTATCGAGTAGACCCCTGTGTGTTGTGAACCCGTGACCTGTGTTTTACTAGTGACTGTACCTTGTCATAGGTCCCT